CTGTGAATAATACACTGCCAGTTTAGTAAACTCTCATATCCATGAATTCTACACCTGGGAATTTAATTAACCAACCAAAGGCTCAAAATAATTGAAAATAATCACAGTTGTTCCAAGTACTTGAGATTGTTTTTTTGTCATTATTTCCTAAATAGTACAGCATGATGAATATTTTTATAAAATTTGAGCTGTGTTAATTTTTTTTCTTTTGTGTGTAGGCATTCATCTGTGAGTAGGTACATGCATATGTGTTGGTGTGTGAAAGCCAGAGGTCCACCTTGGGCTTTGTGTGTGTGTGTGTGTGCGCGTGTGTGTGTGAGAGAGACAGACAGACAGAGACAGAGACAGAGAGAGAGAGAGAGAGAGAGAGAGAGAATATTCATTGGCCTGTAGCTCACCAATTAGTCTAGGCTGCCTAGCTACTGGGCCCTAGAATTATGCCTAATCATCACACCCGCTTGTGCAGGGTATCAGGATTGCAGCTGGGGCAGGCACGGCCTAATTCTGAGGAATGCCTCAGCCACTCCTTGTCAGGCTAAGGGAGACATCTCCCTTGCTTCTTCCCTTTAACAGTCTCCTGAATTCAATCATATCAAAAACTAAGGGGAACGGAATAGGTTCTAACCCAAGGCAAGCTAAGCATTCTACTTCCTTGCCCGCTTAACCTTCCTGGGAATCCTCCTTCTAGCCTTCCTAATAATCACTGCATAGCTCAAGTCATTTCCCTGGACTGGTCTGTACTTCTTGCAGGCTTATTCAAATGCAATTTGGAGTGATAGTTCTAGAATCAAAAATCCTAAATTAAAAAAAAAAAAAATCAATCCTGTTGGTATAATGTTCTTGTGGACTATGTACAGTTTTCCCTTGCTCATTCAAATGCTGATTTCTCTCCCCCACTATCTGGTGTCAATCTGGACACTGCATTGTGATGTTTATTCTAAGCATCACCTGTCTCGTTTGTGTAAACACGCCACCATTTGTTCTCTGTGTTGTCAATAAAATAACCAGCCAATGCTGAGCAATGGAGAAAATAGGGTGGGACATCCTGGTCGGTAGGGGAGGACAGAGAAGCAAGTGGGAGGAAGCTGGAAGAGAGATGGGGGAGGAGAGGACTTGGAACCATGAGGAGAGATGAACCAGACCTAAGATCACCATTCAGCTTTCCCACATTATACTTGCTTTTAGTCATATCTTAGGTCTAGTTCATCTCTCCCACTCGCTTCAAATAGTGGCATGTTTACACAAATGTGAGACAGGTGATGCTTAGAATAAACATCACAATGCAATGTCTTAATTGAAACCAGATATTGAGACAGAGAAATCAGCATTTGCATGAACAAGGGTAAACTGTACACATTCCACAAGAACATTATACCAACATTTCCCCCTTTAAGTCCAATAAAGGGCTCCTTTTCTTTCAATACAATAATTATAAAAGTTATAAAACCTATTAGGTAAGATTTACCTGTGCAATGTCCAGTCCAAGTGCATTTGGCAATTTAGGAGAGAGTATCTTTATTATCTACCCTATCTTGACAAGTTTAGAGTTCTATACCTAAACAAATTTTTATTATTGGTATTATCTATATAAAAACTTTTTCTTAAATTCTAAAAAACTTAAACTTAATTGTGGAACTGTAACTATTTGGTCTTCAACCCCACCAGAGACTTAAGAAGGAATAAAATTAGCTACTTGAGTAAATAGAAAGTGCATGTTAGCAGCTAGAAAAGTTAGAAAACTGACAGTTTGCTGCCTGAACAATCACCCAAAACTCTCTATAACGTAACCAACAATACAATCCACTGGCTTCTCACTGCTTAGGAGTCTCACTGTGGACCGACGCCCACAGCACATCTGTCTACTGTCCACTTGTTCAATGTCTTTACCACTGCCCCCTAACACCGGTTATTCCAGTCATTTTCTCTGTCAAATGCTTATCACTTAGGAAAAAGAGTTCTCTTCTCCCAACACATGTATATTTATCTCCATTACATGCGTGTATAATACAGTAGTATAACTCTAGCCTAGGAATGTGTCTCAGTCTCAGAGCACATACATGCTTAGCAAGTGTAAAGTTCTGGGTTCAACATACACATACACTCCAAGCTCATCAAGTAGGAATATTTGTAAGATGCTGAGAAAAATAAACATCACCAGAGTTTTCAAATGTTGAGTACCCCAATTACTGTTCTGTGTTCCCTCTCCTCAACCTACTACCTACACTACAGAAAATCACAGCCTAGCCTTCCTGGACATGACATTCAGGCTTCTCTCATGACTGGTCTCTAGTCTGCCAGGCCAGCCCTGCTTCGTGCGACTCCCACCATAACCCAGGCTATACAGCACCCTTCTGCCACCCCACTGCTACATTCTGCTAAGATATTCCCTTCCCTTCCCCTGGAATCTCCCCTGAGCAATTCTGGGTGTGGAAATCCCTTCCATCAAAACACAGCCCTACCACCGTCTGCTAAATACCACCCTGAGCTCTATCGCCACAGACGAGCATGACACATTTCATCTCACTATGCCCTCACAACAGCACAGTGTTCCTTTCGTGAGCCCCAGGAGCCCTGCCAAGATGGGAGTAATCAAGGATATGAGGATTCAAAGGTAGGGCTCCAAATATCCTATGTCTGCATCACTCCACTGACGCGACCTGGGAAAACCCCATCTCCTCTGTGCTCCCACTGTGACAGTTCGTCTTCGCTGACAACTTGAAACTGGATTTAGAATCACCTAAGTTTCAGAGTTTAACCAAGGATGTGGGTGTGGGTGGCACCATCCCATGGGCTAGGCTTTCAGAACGGATAAAAAGGCAGCCAGGCACCACACTCTCGTCCCTCTGCTCCCCAGCTTCAAACACAATGTGACCAGCAACCTCACGCTCCTACCGCCAAAGCACCCTGTCTTCCCACCATCGTGGGATGCGCCCCCGAAACTGTGGGCCAGAATAAATCTTTGCTGTTTTGGCAGGTATTCTGTTACAGCGGAACAGAAGTAACTAACACACAGAATGCTTTGTGAAGCCAAGGGCTCCTTAATCCCAAATCCATCAGAGTTGATGCATGTTTGGCAACGGAAGTCCTCATCTTGTTTACGATAGTAACACCACCTACCCCCCACAAAAAAAAACCCTTTCATCTTCTTGCAGTTTCTACACAATCAAGCTAAACTCCACTCATTGAAGGCCTTTTTGCCCCTGCCCTCTACAGCAAGTTCTACAATTACAGATTTGAGTTAAGAAGCAGAGAGGGTAAAGACTGGAAGTGTGGGCTCCTCTCTGGGAGTCAACTCAGTACCTGTTTCTACATCTGTAAGACGGAGTTTTACATCACAGAGTCGTTATGAATGAACTTAAAACATCAGGCCAAGCACCTCAACAGCGCCAGATATTTTACAACTCCACATGGTACATCCATGACCAAACTCAACTAAATTTCAAACGGTAATTCCAAACCAGGAGGAATTTGGAGAATACAGAATGTAAATCAAAGGGCAAAGATGTAGACTTCATATTGTTTTTAAAGCTCTGAGATTTTTCTTTCATTCATTCTTTTTTTTTTTTTTTTTTTTTTTTTTTTTTTTTCTTTTTTTTTTTTTGGTTTTTTTTTTTTTTTTTTTTTTTTTTTTTTTTTTTTTTTTTTTTTTTTGGATGCTAAGGATTGAATTCAAAGCCACACATGCTCTCTACCACACCACATCCCCAGGCCCTGCTATCTAAAATTCCTAGTTACCTAGGAAGTCGGCTGACAAAGAACAACACCCAGAATCTGGGTTTGCTTTGTAGGAAATAGCCCAGCAAGAGACGGTTGTGATGGAGTACCCTTAATCCCAGCACCTGGGAAACAGGCACTTGCATCTCTCTAAGTTTGAGGCCAGCCTGGTCTGTACCACAACTTCCCCCAGAGAGAGAGAGAGAAAGGAGGGAGGGAAGGAGGGAGGGAGGGAAGGAGAGAGGGAGGGAGGGAGGAAGGAAGGAGGAAGGAAGGAAGGAAATTTGTGTTCATGCTTTCCTTCCTGCCTTAATTTTATAGTGACTAAGACAGCTAGGTACACACCTGGTGCTTAGTCAAAGGCTCTGGCAACTACAGTGTGTCTCTCGAAGCCCTCAAGGCAAAGAACAAGCAGGGACCAAAGTCCTTCATCATCTATCGGCCCCTCCTAGAGGTCTGCATAGAGCCCACATTCAGTCTTCAAGGTACTTAAGAATGATGCGATGCATAAATGAATATATGCAAAGGTATTTGCTGACACAGATGACTACACAGGAATAAATCTCTCCACAATGTCTAACTTCTGGCCACGTGGAGACCGGGACGCACCACACCTGAGTGAGTTTGGCCGACTGTTAAGTACAGTCATGTTAAGTGAAAGAGTCTCCTAGCCACAGATGACGCCCCTCACTGGTAGTATCTGCAAAACGAAGGGGCCAGAAGAGGATGTCTAAGATTTCCTTCAAATCGAAGTCCTGTTACCTGTGATCGCTCCGCAGACTCACGGTGGATAGAGTGTGGACTTGAGCCAACAGCAAAAGCCAAGCAAAGGCGGTTAAATTTGATAACCGCTGTAGTTTGAAGGAGTGAAAGTTGGGGGCAAGGCGACTACAGAAAATGAGTGCGGCTAGGAGGGACCCGTTACAGACGGGGCTCTTTATGCGAGTTCTGAAACTGCCTCTCTAAAGAGCCATGGTGCCTGACGGAGGACAACTACACCCACAGACACGGAATGCGTCCCTGATTTGGCCTGGCTTCGAGACACCGTGCCAAAAACAAACAAATTAAAGCACATGGGAAGCAAGGGTTTTGAAATAACTTTTCTGAAGAAGGGATCCCCTCTGCACTGTCTCCCCCAATGGCCTTTATCACCTTCTTCCCAGATTAACCCACTGCGCCTTAAGCCGGAGGCCTGCAGCTCCGGCCTGACCGGGTTAGGGTTCGGCCTAGTGGGGCCAGAACCCTAGGTCCGCTCCGGCCGCCGAGAAGGAGGCGCTGCCGCCCACCTTGGTGCTGGAGTCCGGGTCGGAGCAGCAGCTGAGGGCAGCCTCATCCGTGAGGCCGCTGGACGCGGGCTGTGGCTCTGCCATGGCCGCCCGAGAGGATCACCGAAGAGCTCTACCCGCAAACCAGCCGGGCACTCACGCTCCAAGGACCGTGGGCCGCCTTTGCTACAGACTGAGTGATGGGCCAAGGGGCGGGCGGCCGCGGCTCCCAGCCAATGGCGGTGCACGTGGCTGTTGGCTTCCTGCTGATTGGCTCCCAGTGAATCTGGTTCGGTGTAGGAAAACTACAATTCCCAGAATGACATCGCGCATGATGGCGGCAACGCTTCAAAAAGCGCGTTCCTCAATGACCTTATTTTGTTTGTATTTAGTTACAAAAGTTGAATAAGCACCCATTCCTTAGGGCGGCAGCTTCGTAGAAAATTTCAACCAAGTTCGAGCTGGGAGTTAGTCTTTTTAAAGATTGTGTAAGAACCGAAGTTTGAATAAGCCAGGATAATTGAAAACTGTTTGTTTTAAAGTAACTAAGTTTGAGTATTGTTTCCACTATATTTTGGCCCCAGGAGCTTGGGGTGCCAATAGTTACTGGTCTTCGCAGAGCCTCCTTATTCAATTCTCCTTGTTGAGAATTGAATTAAGATTTAAGTCATGGGTTGATTATGTAGTACACACAAACTACCTGAGAATGAATGAATGGGGCTTTAAGGACTCGTTTCTACGCACAGCTTATGTGAGTAGCCAGAACTGCTGGGATGTCACATCCGAAACTAAGTTCAAGGTCGCAAGCCCTAGCAGAGCTAGGGACTTGTCAATAGCTGAACAGCCTCTGTTGTAAGGAGACAGTTGTCTGAGTCCAGACATCTCAAGAACAACTTCTCCATCTTGCTCGCTGGATCAAACTAAGTTCATGTTCCCAGTCCCAGGAACCTACTCCTAGGTGACTGAAGGAAACTCCCTTGCTCAAGCCCTATGTCAAACTATGACTGAACAGTGCTGCAGCCCACCCCCGCTCTCTCTTGCTTTATGGTTTCATTCTTTAAATATTCTGTACAATGTTCCCTCAAAGTCGGTAGTTCAGCTCCCAGAGTCTATTCTGCAGCCCTGATCTATCAGTAATGGCTTGATTTCAATAAATGTTTGTCTTCTGCATTGACTTGGCCCTTGAGTTATGTTAGACTTAAGTGGACCCCGAAACACTGTGGTTGACCAGGTGTGGTGGCTCTCACCACAGTAATTGGAATCCCAGTAATTGGAAGGTAGAGGTAGGAGGATGAGGAGTTTAAGGCCAGTGTGGACTAGGTAGTGAATTCAAGGACAGCCCTGGACTTTATGAAACCCTGTCTAAAATAGATAGATAGATAGATAGATAGATAGATAGATAGATAGATAGATAGATAGA